CTGAGCCACCCAGGCATCCCCCAACCAAATTTCTAACAAAGGCCTAGAACACCAGCCTTAATGATCAGAAGTAAGAGATGGCTTCACGTCCACTTTTAAATTACCAATCCATGTCAGTAGAATGTGTTCCTTAAAAATCTTTCTTAAAATTTAACCACAGTGATTCATGATGTCAATTTTCAAATCCGCCAGGGAAAGTGAAATCACAGTGTAGTTTCCAGATTCGTAAAAGGTAAAGGGGAGGGGGCAACAGAAAGGTTTTGATAAGTTAAGTGCAGGCTTGAGAAAGTTCTACACATTTTTCTTTTTCTAATTGTTTGCCCAAATCCACTGTTCTTAGGAGAAAGCCCGTGTCTCTAATGATTAACATTCTGGGTTGTGGGAAGTGTGCTTCATTAACAATATGTGGCTTGTATTCCTTTACACACTCATCTGTAACGTCGATATAAATAGTTTCTGTGATGAGTAACTAGGTTTCTGAGATAAGTCCGTCCTTTTATTACAGCTGATAACACAGGATTATAGGAAGCGGTATGGCTAACTAGCGAGAGGTTTTGATATATAATGGAAATTATACTCATTCAGTCCCCCTTCTGAGCTCCCCAGATGCCACCCTAAATTGTTTATTGACAGTATTCATACCTGGAGAATTTACCCAAAAGCAGTGGATTCTTTTTCTCCTCTTCCCCCCACCCCCCACCCCATGTCGCCTATAACTCTGTTTTCCAAAGAAAAAATATCTTCAAAATTGCCAGCTTTTCTTATCTAGAGATAAGGATCAAGTCGGTCATCAAATTTACCCCGTGCTTTTATTCATAGAGCTGCATAAAAACTTTGTCACCCAAAGCACCGTGAAGCTACATACTCACCAATTTCAAGATAACATGAAATATGACATAATCAATTATGGAAAATAATGAAATGGAATGTTGGCATGGAAAGCCCCCTCGGAGAGTGTTAAAACAAGGAATCAATTGCTCAGGAGGAGTGTTAAAATTACAATCAGTCAAGAAGTCTTTACGAAGGGCCAGCTGTGGGTCCGGACCTGCCAGCACATGTGGGAAGGGTCAGATGCATGTTTCTGGGGTGTTCATCGCGTGGGGCAAAGATGGTTGTTTATTCCACCAACACGGAAGGACTTGCTTGCTTCTCTTGTGGGCTAGGTAACAAAGATACACAGGTGAAAAGCAGAAACTGTGCAGAAGGGAAGGTAATTCAGTCATTTGTTTTTTGCCTTAACAAGCATTTATAAAATGCATCTTTTTTTTTTTTTTTTTGTGCCTGGTGCTGTGGTACACACTGGGAGCTCCAGCTGCAGGTTCCACCGCTGTCCTCGAGGGGGGCAGACAGATTCACAAGCAATTACAGAACTTTGCAGAAACAGGGTGATGACAAAAAAGATCCTATGTTAGACACAAAGGAAGAGATGATGCCCCGAACAGTACAAAATATAAAACCAAAAGTGAAATGCTAATTACGGAAAATAGATATGTTCACCTATTCTTGCAATTTCTGAAGCAGCAGAGGAACCAGGAAATATGCAGATTTTAAAAGCCTGTCTATCTTCTTACTGCATCTGGACATAGGCAGCAGTGGGCAGAAGTGGGGATGAAAAAATATCCAGCCCCCCGCCTTAGTAAGAAACTTACAGAGGATGTGTGAAAACAAAACCTTTATTTCTTCCTTGGCAATTGGCCGGCACTCCTCTCTCTCTCTCTTTCTCTCTCTGTCTCTCTCTCACACACACACACACACACACACATACATACACACACACACAGAGTTCGGCATAAAATCTGAAAATGATACACCCCATTCTTTTTCTGAACACGAGACAAAAATATATCTTTGTTTGGAAGTGTGTCTTCAACATCCCAAAAGAAAAGGTGGCCAGGAGAAGTCAGATTTTGACTTATGATTGGAACATGGCTTGATGCTGGAAAACTGTTATCATAGTATTTCTGCCCTGTTATATATGAAAATAAGGGACCATCATATATAAATGAAGAGGAAGAAACCCTTAATGAGATAGCTCCCAAACTTACGCTTCTTTTCATTTTCACTCCCCCCTTTCTCCTTTTCTGTGTGGCCAGTGGATAATCTCTTGGCTCTTTCATCTTTCCAAAATGGGAACAATAAATGCACTTTGAGGAGTCTGTATTCCCCCAACCATTTTGAAATTATTTGCAACATTAACATGTATAATAATTGTTTCTGGGGAGACAATCTCAGAGGGGAGTATTTTAAGTTTCCCTGAAAAGAGTGATAAATAACTAAAGCTTCATAGCTCTCTCTCTCTCACACACACACACCCCAAAAACCAAAAAACTTACAGTGGAACCAAATTGTCATCACAGACTGATAAATTTGAAATAAGATGCTATCATGTTTTTGCTGAAATGAGAGCATAATAAAACCCAGGAGAGCAAAGTATGCTTTGTTTTGAAATCATACCAAGCATCTGGCGAGACAGTTCCTGGAATGTGCCCTGGATGCTACAACATGTATGTTTTTGGGACATTTGGCCACTGCTCCTTGTGACAACAGTTTATGGAGAACATTTAGCTGGATCTACATCAACTGCTGCCCAAAGGCTGACTTGTCACACCACACAACACTGGAGATTTTTCTGTAGAGAAGAACATGACCTTCTACTGTCACTAAACCACCAAGTCATGTTTGGGTGAACATTGTCCCCCATGAGAGTCATTTTCACAAGGTAGGGACTGCGTTTGTCTTGCTCACCATTATATCCCAGGTCTGGCACTCAAACCCACCAAAGAATCAGCTATTAAAAATATCGATTTATTTAATGAATGAAAATTTTTTAAAAGATTTACGAATTTTGTTTTTATTTATAGATTTTATTTATTTGAGAGAAATAGCATGCCATAGAGGCAGAGGGAAAGAGAAAAGCAGACTCCCTGCTGAGCAAGGAGTCTGACTCGGGGCTCAGTCCCACAACTCATGAGATCACGACCTGAGCGAAAACCAAGAGTCGGCCGCTTAACTGACTGAGCCACCAAGGTGCCCATGAATGAAATTCTTTTGGTCAGAACAGACTAACTGGTTCAAAGTATTTCTGATGGAGATGTTTGGGGATGTGTTTTCCTGATCACAGAGCCTGATTGTAGTTTTGTGTAGTTGCAATACTACTGCTTTTCTCCTTCTCCACAGAATCCATTTCCATCAGGCACGAGCCCTCTGTCTGATGTATTTTCATTTGTGTATTTTACACTTTACGAAGGGGATTTCCCATCCACTACCTTATTTCATCCTCACAAAAACTTTCTCATATATTTTTAGGTGAGAAAATAAGTCTTAGAGAATTACGTGGTCTGACTAAGCTCTCACAGCTGGAAAATATAGAACTGAGTCTTGAATCCTTCTTTGTACTATGAGTTCAGTGCTCCCTTGATCATGTTCACTATGTCCCGGAGTCATGGAAAGAAAGTTAGTCACAAGCTCTTATCAGTACAAATCAATGTATGAATGGAAACTTCCTTAGAATCAGCCAGCTATCCAGAGTTCCATTGAATGGCCACTTAAAAATGAATTTGTTAAAAGTAAGTCAAATTAATTTCATTTAGAAAATTCTAGCACCTCCTGATGTAATTTGGAGACAGCCTAGAGCTTGAGAGAGCGTTAGAGAATTTTTTAGGCAGCTCTCTGAGCCCTATTTTCTCATCTATAAATTTAATATAATGATACCAGTTCGGCTAACTTCGAAGGCATGTTCTGTCAGTTAAATCTAAAGCAATACACAAAAGCTCTAAAAAAAAAAAAAACTACACAATGTATCAATGTCAGGTGTTACTTTTTTTTTTAAGATTTTATTTATTTATTTGACAGAGACACAGCTAGAGAGGGAACACAGCAGGGGGAGTGGGAGAGGGAGAAGCAGGCTCCTGGCTGAGCAGGGAGCCCGATGTGGGGCTCCATCCCAGGACCCTGGGATCAGGGCCCGAGCCGAAGGCAGACGCCCAACGACTGAGCCACCCAGGCGCCCCCAGGTGTTAGTTTTATAAGTTCACAGTGTGTGTCTAAATATGGCTACTGCATTTGGAAAAACCGGGGTCTTTGGCTGGTATCTATTACAAAATGAAGAGCACACTGTTACAAGTAGCCATTGCAATGGGTCACTATGCTCTTCGCATTCAGACCGTGGATATGTGAACTGTCCGTGAAATAAGTATGGTTTTGTCATTGAAAAATGTCAATGAAGAATTTCCCCTGGAGGACAAGGTGAAATAAGAATAAAATGCCCACTGTGACCCAGCACATTTCATTTTAATCCTCATGGCAGTCCTGTGAGGGAGGTAATGTTCTCGGTTCATTTTCCAGTTATGGAAACCGAAGTTTAGAGCGTTTTTGGGAAAATCATCCAAATCATAAAGCAAATGTAGATGAGCCTCAAGACCATGATTGGTGATTATTCCAATCAAAGTCGAGGACAGTTTGGACACACACATCAGTTAATACTAATGCCAGATAAGGCAGTGTGTCTCTTTATCTTCCAAAGTCATTTGTGCCGGCGTGCTAATTGTCTTTTAAAGAAATCTCAGTTTGGCAGCTTGCTAATATCTGTGTACTATTTTAGCTTTGGGTCAATGTATTAAATGCTAGATACATAAGCATAGGCTATTTGGGGCCATTCTAACGGGGTCTAGCGAGGACAGTGTGAGGCGCCTGGACCTCCCACAAGCAAACTCTACTAGCTCTGTTAACATTAGACAGAACGATCTAATGGAGGGCCTTTTCCTAGCAGCTCATTGATTATAAATACTACTCTTAAGTATTCATATGTGGCCTAAAAAGTATTTATCCAAATGAAAATAATGATTTTCAGGAGCAGCGATGTAAATTCTGAGCATTTGTGCCATGACGAACATTGGCAGAGACTTCTTGCTTATAGTGAGTTCTCTTATGTAGAAAATTAGGCAAAAATAAAAAATGTAGTGAATAACAGTGTCATTTTTTTTTTTCTATTTCTTTTATAGGTTGATGACCAAATGAAGCTGCTTCAGAATTGCTGGAGTGAGCTCTTAATTCTCGACCACATTTACCGACAAGTGGTACATGGAAAGGAAGGATCCATCTTCCTGGTTACTGGGCAACAAGTGAGTATAGAGATCCCCCGCCCCCCCCAAAAATGTCTTTTTATTAAGCATGTTCAGAATGGCAGGAATTTAACTAGGTCAGAAGCACTCTGGTGCTTTGAAAGGGAAAGATTGGCTGCAAATAATTTAGAAAAGCTGACTTGGTGCACTCTGTTCCTACACCGATGATTACAGTTAAACTTGTAAAAGCAAAACATAATCACAAACATTCTGCTGCTTTCACTCTGCTGGGATTGAAAGTTGTGCTTTGAAGGGTCAAAACAACTGGTAAATCAGAATTAACGATTAGTACCCAGCATTTTTTCCTTAAGTTTCTGCATTAATCTACCACACTTGTTTTGTCAGCTATTTAAAAAGCTGATACATTGTGGAATCCTTACGATTTTGGCATCATAATGGTGGAAGAGACTGATTCAAATATCATATATAAACTAAATATTTGGCATAAAGGCAAATGAGGGAAAAGGGACAGGAGTTCCAGTTTTCAAGAGCCAGCCATCATTGAAAAGGAAAATAGAAAAAATTACTGTTAGTTCCTACTCTTTTTTTTTTTTAAAGATTTTATTTATTTGAGAGAGAATGAGAGAGGGAGCATGGAGGGGGAGGGGAGGGTCAGATGGAGAAGCAGACTCCCTGCTCAGCAGGTAGCCCAATACTGGACCCAATACTGGACTCAATCCTGGGACTCCAGGATCATGACCTGAGCAGAAGGCAGTCGCTTAACCAACTGAGCCATTCAGGCGCTTCCCTACTACTTTCTGAATAGATATTTGCTTAGTCAACAGATACTTACTGAACATCAACAGTGTGCCAGCCACTATTCTAGGGCATTGGCATGCATTAGTGATCAACACAGAAAAAGACCCTATCCTCACAATGCTTAACATCATAGCAGGGAGAAGCTGACCATAATGAATCATCTTATAACAAACCTGTATATAAGAAATGTATAATGTATTAGAAGTCAACGTGCTGTTGAATAAAAGAAGAAAAACAAACTGAGGGTTCTAGAGGGGAGGGGGGTGGGGGGATGGGTTAGCCTGGTGATGGGTATTAAAGAGGGCACATTCTGCATGGAGCACTGGGTGTTATGCACAAACAGTGAATCATGGAACACTACATCAAAAATTAATGATATAATGTACGGTGATTAACATAACATAATAAAAAAAATAAAAAAATAAAACTACACACACACAAAAAAAAGAAAAGAGAACATGCTGTGCAAAGGGAAATGCACACATACCCACGGGGGTTGTAGGTTGCATCGTGACCCAAGGATTTCCATGGTCAATAAGAGTAGTTGCTTTTGTCTTAGTGAGAAGGTGATGTTTTAGCAAACACTTGAAGGAGGAGAGATCGTTGTTGGCTTCATGGATATCTGGGGAACAGAAAGTATTCAATGGACCTAAGTCCAACTTTATAGGATTTTGGCATGTCCCTCCCAGTTCTTAGCCTTCATTCAATAACTGATGTGTTATTAAAATAAATGCACGGAACATAGTGATTCCATAAGTCCATTGGGTCATTCCTATTCAGGCATTGCTCCAGCGTTCAGCAATGCTTCCATACTTCAGGACTCGGGCACCGTGATCTTTTACATCCACCCATAAATGTTTATGTGCTGTGAAACCACAGCAGTGCATATTTGAAAATGAAAGGCTGTCTCCACGCCATTTGCTGTATTATTAATAAATCACATTTTCCCAATCAAATTAAAGGCAAGCACTATTTCAGAGTTTTTGCAGATTGGATCAATTCAACCATCTCCATCACTATTTGGTCCCTGTTTTTCTGTACATCTCATGAGAAAAGCCTGCTAGACGAGAAAATAAAGTCTCATGGGCTTGACTTTCTGTACTTCCAAATTTTTATTAAGCATCTTCATCCAGTGACCCAAGTCTCTGGAGGAAATGTACCCATTTCTAGAGTTTAATCACTGGGTATGCCTCCCAACCCTCTCTCCACCCCACCCCTGTTCCCCCGCCCAGCCCTACCCAACTAGGAACTGCATTAGAAGGAGCCTCAGCCCACAAATTAATTTGATTTCATTTCCTTCTGAGTTTCAGAAATCAAATGGGTTTGTGCCGTTCTTTCTCAAAGCACTTCCATTCTTGCTCTTTAGAAATACTCCTTATTTCACATTTCATTTGGCCTTAAGTGCTGCCCCTGGGTAAAGGTAATTACCATTTAAAAAGTAGAGAAAGTGCATTTCTTGTCTCTCTGATTTTCAAAACCAAGAACAGTCAGAAATAGATGGTATTTATCATCTTTAGTATCAATTACTGCTACTTCATGTTTTGTCATCACAACAGAATACAGAACTCCCTGGTGGAGAACTAGTTCTTCCCTTTCATCTTTCCTGCCATCCAGAGTCTTCTAGCTCCCTCCTGCCCTCATAAAGTGAGTCACCTTTCTGTCAAACCCCTCTCCTACCCCTTTCCATCCAATCCAATGGAGAGCCTCATAATGATTCATTATAACTGGACATTCTGATTTATGAAAATTGTGGAACAAACCTTGTATTTTCTATTGTGGAATAGGCTAGACAAAACATTTTGAATCTATCTCTGGGCTTCCTGCAATTCTTTTTTTTTTTTTTGAGGATCTAGTTGGCTTTATTAAGTGATTATGAATTGGGTAGCATTCCATCTAGCAAGTAGAGAAATGCTCCTGCAATTTCTTTCTTTTTTTCGGGGGGTGGGGGAGGAGGGGAAAGGAGGGAGGGAATCTTAAGCAGGCTCAATCTCCTGACCCTGAGATCATGACCTGAGCCTTAATCAAGAGTTGAAAGCTTATCCCCCTGAGCCACCCAGGTACCCCATCCCGCAATTTCTTAAATAAAAGCAAAAGAAGTGCTATGAAGGAAGACTTTTCCAAACAAAGCATGCAACCTTTCCAAGAGAATGAGAAAGATATTTTAATGTGGAGTCATAGACCTATTTTTACATCTCTCCAGCACCCATTTAGTGCTGAATATGTTAGGTGCGTGATAAATATTAGCTCATGGTACCAAAGTAGAGCCACCCTATCGTAACCTAAGTGCTTAATTAAAACAAGTTAACTTGGACTCAACACCCAGAGTATGCATCCCCACCATGTTTCCACATCTCATCTATACCTTTTTATAGCTTCCCATTTTCTGGGGTGGGGCTGAGACCCCAGCACTGGTCTGACGTTCAGAAGTTGCTTTTCACTGCAGTAGGCTCCCCAGCCTGAGATGCAGGGTTATAGGCGAAAATATTAAGTAAAATTTTCTTAGAACGGTAAATAGCTCCCTAGCTGCAAGTGTGGGAAAACCTAGATTTTTTTGTTAAAACAACAATAACAATAATAAATTATTTGGAGTATGCTAGTTTTTTTTTTT